CCGTCGCAGAGCCGATTTCGTGATATTCGATCTCTGCAGGAGCATCTCGTTTCGTCGCTGGCATCGGCGCAATCGACACGGCCGTCGCACCATTTTATCCTTGGGATGCAATATCGATTATCGCACTGATGATAATTTATAGGACATTTGTTGAGCGTAGGGTACTCTAAAATAATTATCATGCCGTTAAAACTGACGCTCTAATTGATTTTCTTGGAAAATTTTCAGTTTCAAGTTTTACATTTTCAAAGTATGGTAAAAAAAACAATACGTATCGCTCCCTTACTTCAAAAGTGATACAACAAAATCGATACAATTCAAAAATTATGTTTCTCAGAAAACAGAAAAATTATTTTCAATTTGACAGAAAATTATAATAATGAAATAATATCGGCAAAAGAATATATTCTAACATGATCAAATGTCATAATTATTTTTAAAAATCACTTTTTTTGAGTTGTAACGATTTTGATAATTTTTTTAAACATTTTTTTTAGAGGCTTTAACATTCTTTTTGAGAGTCTTTAACATTTGCTGTGACAAATTTTATGATTTTTTTATAAAGTGTTAAGTTAATATATTTTTAATTCTAAATAAGATAATGTTTATTTATTTAAGGTAATAACTCGTACATCAATATGAAAATGACGTTTTCTTTAAAAATTGTGTCACTTTTGATGTAAGAGGGGGAGCGATATAATAATTAAAATAATTAAAATAGATAAGATGAAATAAATATGTTAAATAAAGAAGAGGAATGATACACATAGAGATAAGATAAAAAAATTGAAAAAATCCTCGCAGGAAATCTGCAAAACTTCGCTTACGCCGATTATGCTGCGTGATAACATCGACTTCATGAGGTAATTTTCGTGATTCTTTTGGAAGGTCTTTAGCTTCGCTGACAGAGCGGTCGGATTGCGAAGTGCCAGATATCGATGGGAAGTGAACGGTCGATAGTGACATATAACCGCAGAAATATGGCATGTTTGCAATTGGCTGCTGGGACATTGCGGTTGATTGCTGATTCAACGATAACATTGGTGCGTTTGGCATGGCAGGTCCCGTAGGACCGATGGCTTGACCAATCGATTGAGGTAGACTGCCGGCGTAGTTCAATCTTGGTATAAATGGCATAGGCGTATTCGCTTGTATCTGCATATAATTTGGCGAGAAGCCTTGGTGAAGCGAGTTTTGAAACGGAAATCCGCGATGTTGCATTGAAGAGGGATTTGAGTAAAATGCCGATTCTGAAGATAATGGCATGTTGGAAGATTGGCTAGGATAGCCAAAGAAACAGACTGGATGTGGCATTGTCCACGTTGTGGGGGTCGGTTGTAACTGCTGAAAGGATTTTGTGCTCTTCACGGCTACTGGTTTGCCGTTGTCTTTTATCTGGAAATGATCGGCCTGCATAAACTGCTCGTTATCACGGTGATTTTCTTTCCATCTTGATCCTGCAAGTGTATCTTTCTTAAAAATTTCAGTTATTATATTTTGAACAAATCGTAAACATTTTACAGAGAGGGCAGAAGTACATAGTAAAAAATATATTTTATACTTGTATTAAAACCGGTCCTCGTTAAAATTTTTGTATTAAACATTTTTTAACGTCCTTAAGTGTTAACTTAACACAATGTAATTTTGTTATTCTATGATAACCTAATGTTTAACATTTTTAATGATAACATAACACAATTTAAGAATAAATGAAGAAATGTAAATAACGTAGTTTTAAAATAAATTTTAAGATAAATAAATTAAAAGTGAATATATAATATGTATATGTTAATTTAACATATCATAAATGTTAATTTTATGAAAGAAATATGCTTCTTCGATTTATTTTTAAATTGTATCGAAGTGTTTTTTTTGTGTTAATTTTTACGTAATGTTACATTGTAACATCTATAACATATTCATTTTGTGTTAAATTAATGGAAAAATTTGGATGAACTGTTTGGGTTATATAAAATGCGTTAATTTAATACAATTTTCCAACTGTGTACTGCAAGAATAATAACAGTCTGGAAAAGTTTAGTATGTACCCGCCTCTGATTTATAAGTTAAAAACACTTTCTCGATACGATTTAATTTAATATCGTATTGAGCGTTTTATATTGTATTATGAATATTCCGAGACTTGCAACTTATACACAACTCTAATGATTACGTAAACTTAATACTTATTCGTTTCTGCATTCCAAATATTTTTTGATAAACTTAAAAATATAGAATATCGGAAGTGACGGAGTAAAAAGGAATTAGCAGAAAAAATAAGTAGAAAGAATGTATATATATATATATATATATCTTAAAGATGCACATTCATAGCATAAATATTGATGTATGTAAGTAGCAAGCGACTCGCGATTAATTATTTCACTATATACTCTTTTTCCAATATGTTCTTCCAATTCTTCCCGATTGCATACCGTTCGTCGCTGTAGTCGATCGATTTTCCGGGAGTCCCTCGAACGAAGAATGCGCTGAAGGATGCACCGTGTTGCCATTGATTCCGGTCACGTCGTATCCCACTGGCACACTCGTCACGTTTTCAGTAATCTGTTTCGTAGGATCAATGATGGTCCGTATTCTTGTTTCGATTGTTCCTATCGAATCAGCTGCAATCGTGGTTTTTCTGGATTTTTCATCATCTTCTGTAACAGTGCCATGGTGCATTCTTGTACTGCTCGATTCCATCATGAGCAACGGCTTTACGCTCGTGACACCTTTGTTTACGGTTATTATACTTTGTTGTTGATCGTTTTTCAACACTGCAGGAACGCCTTCATTGTTTTGGCTTTTTGTCACACGAGAGTCATTTACCACTGAATTACTGTCGGACCATTTGATACTGACGTCTGAATTGTTACTGTCGGTGTCGTTTACATACATCTGTTGGCTTCCATTAGAATCTGTGTAATTAATTGATACAGTACTGATTTCCGATATGCTGGTGTTCTTCAATGACTGATTCGTGGCATTTTGTAATGGATCATCGATAACTGAGTCCATTTCCAGCGGCTGGATATTTGCCCCTTTTATCTGATTAACTTCCGACCGCTTTGAGCCATTTTCAGCCTCTCTGTCATCCAGTAACTTGATGGTAGTGCTAAAATCGCTCGGGTGATTTTGCTCGGCATAATCATGCGGGAAATATCGATCTTTCAATCGTGACGTATAATCTTCATCATTTTCATTCGCATACTGCAAGAACGCCTTCATTGTTTTGGCTTTTTGTCACACGAGAGTCATTTACGACTGAATTACTGTCGGACCATTTGACACTGACGTTTGAATTGTTACTGTCGGTGTCGTTTACATACATCTGTTGGCTTCCATTAGAATCTGTGTAATTAATTGATACAGTACTGATTTCCGATATGCTGGTGTTCTTCAATGACTGATTCGTGGCATTTTGTAATGGATCATCGATAACTGAGTCCATTTCCAGCGGCTGGATATTTGCCCCTTTTATCTGATTAACTTCCGACCGCTTTGAGCCATTTTCAGCCTCTCTGTCATCCAGTAACTTGATGGTAGTGCTAAAATCGCTCGGGTGATTTTGCTCGGCATAATCATGCGGGAAATATCGATCTTTCAATCGTGACGTATAATCTTCATCATTTTCATTCGCGATGTTTATCTGTTTGCACTCGAGACATTTTAGAATATCTTTGGGCAATGATTTTTTGTCGTTTGTCGCTGAAAACTTATTATCGAGAGTCACGAGATATTCTTTCACCGTTCGCAACAACATCTTACAATATTGATCGTTCAGAGCGCAATCTCTTCTTTTGCGAGATACCTCCCGCTTGAAACGCGTGTCAGTGTCTCTTCCATTTATCGTTAGAAATGTGTCGTCTTTTACAACTTGTGTTATCTGGCTCGTAAGCTCCGTCTGATCGCTAAAAGATGGGTCTCCATCGATCACTTTTCCAACCCGGGACTTCAATAATGATCTTCTACTGAGAGGAAAGCCTGGTCTGATCTCTCGCTCCACACGTGTTTCTGGTTGAATGTGAACTGAAAGAATAGGTAGAAGAAACGATTCTTCGAGGACATCGGTTGGAAATTGGCGATTGCAAGGACGAACTAGAGTAAAATTTTCAAGAAAAACAGCACACGTGCTTCTACAAGCACACGTAATATTTACTAACCTGAAGTATTATGAGCGTCATGTCCTGACATTATAGAAAACATAAAGTTGGCAATTGTCATAAAAAGTACAATCAATAAGATTAAAATCGCTCCAGTCAGGAGAATATGTTTGTGCCGTGTATAAAAATTCGAATGACTACGCCCGCTTGACTTCGTCATGCATTTGTTAGAAGTTACGCCTAAAATTGTGATCAATATTAATCTTAAAATGTTGAAAATACATATATATTGTAACAAAACAATATTCACAATATAGATCTGTTCGCGTTGCCCGAAATTTTTGCACTTAAAGTAAGATGAGTATTATGTATTCGGACGTTCAAAAGAGAGAAAGTGATAATTCTAAACGCAAAAAGTGCAAGCAATTAGACTTATTGGCATTCTTGAAGGGCTTATCCAACTTTAATACAAGATTAATGCTGAAAAAGAAAATTTTATCTTTGGATTTATAAATTCACCGACACTACAATAGATCTCTGCATTTCATTACTCATAACTTTTGACATTATAATTTTAGAAAAAAATATTTCAGGTGTATTAAGTTGCTTGAATTTTACATAATCAGATTTCTTTCTTCAATAGGATTTGAAATTTCAAAATTGCTTCTCCACTATGCCCTTGAAATAGAATTCCAAAAAATCATTTGTAGCACACTTGAAAGAATTTTTTGTAACAACAAATCGTCAATATTCATTAAATTTAGAAATCACTGAATATAAAAATATCCAGTGATTTTTAAACATTATTGGTCTGTAACACTTTATTTGAGCTACCCTGATGTATATTCCTTTATATGATATATTTTAATTTATTATTAAGATACTCTTCAAGATTTTCAATGAAGAACTGGATAATATGTAACTGCAGGATATGTGTTTCTCAAATATCGATTGTCAAGTAATAAAACTTACCTGTATTTCGAATTCTCGAATCCGTCAACACAACGCAACATGGTGAATCAATTGGAACATCGACCAATTTCAAAGATAGGCTTTTATTTTTATCGATGTGCAGTTTATTCGATTTATCCAAAAGACGCACTAATTACGCAAAAAAAGTTAACAGAATAATATTAATTTAAATATAAGTCTTAATTAAATTATACAAAATTCTTGAATGTAGCTACGTTTTCGACTTACTTTTGATTAACTTTTAAGTTTTTATAACGATTGAACCGTTTTGTACGAAGTTCCTAACTTAACTGATCTTCACATGAGATTACTCCGGCAACGACTAAACCCTGGATTTGATAGGCAGAGTTCTTCGCCACGGTGCGACAGAGAAAAATTGCTGACAGCTTATACCGTCTCCTATTACTTTCATGTGAATGAACCCTTTTACACGCATTTCAACAAGTGTCTCTGTCGCTGAGCTTGCAAAAATCTGTGAATGGAATTCTTGGTTTCCATCGCAAAACTAAAATATTGATTTTAGCTCGCAAGCATAAAGATAAGAATTAATTGATCTTTATTGTACAGATCTGAAAACTTAATAAAGTTTTTGCGTTTTGTGTATCTCTCATACGTTCAAGGAATACAACGCTCACGATTAATGACTCTCATTTTCAAGTGGAGAATTTTTTCTTGAAAACTCCAAATCTTAACGAGAAACTATTACTCTTCATTATGGAAAGTTTCGTTGCTTGTAAAGTTATTTCTGTCTAGCGGAAAAATGGAATAAAGTGCCGAATGATATTTTTTATTGAACGAAAAGTTAATTTGAACAAAGTTGCCTCAAGAAATTGTATCCTTTAAAAAAGGAGTTGATATACTTCTATCTTCATATGCAATTAAATAGAAATCGTATATTTATATAACTAAGAGCACATTAAAATACGAGTAAGATAATTAATATAAGAAATAAATAAAACTATTAAAATACGATAAAATGTATGTTTATGCTCTTCTTAGAGAAGAATATATATTAATTTTTATTACTTTATTTTCATTTATTTTTCATAGTTTTAAATGTTTATTATTATATTTTTATAAATATATTACTTATTAGAAGAAATATATAGGGGAGAGTTGCCGAATGCGTATTGGCCTAAATTTCATCAATATTTTATATACGATTACTTGCAGGTATAAGCAACATTACTAGATAATATAAAATAAATAAGTAATATAGACAAAAATATAAGAAGCTATGCATCTTGTTTAGTGGACGTTAGAGACGTTATAAAAAATTAGGTAGATCTGATATTAATTTTTGATTAACTTATATAATTGATAATAACGTATTATAATCATTCAATTTTACTATAAATTTTTGTATTTTCATGAAAGAAGGTTTATTGTAGAATATTTTAAATTTATTATATATACATATTTGCAACTATTATAAATCCTACTACAAATTGATATTTTTACGAAATTCATCAAGTTTTCTGAATCGTACCATTACAAAATAAAACTGATAATTGACAATAATAAAACTAATAATTGATATAAATGTCAAGTGCAAAAATATATTCGAATCAAGTTTATTGTAACGTCATTACAAAAAGGAACGTTTTACAAAAATAATGATTAATATATTAGCATTAAAGAGAAATTAGTATTTCTGAAACACGGAAGGTAAGAGAGGAAATAATTATAATGACTGGCTGAAATTTGAATTGATGCATGTAAAATAAGAAAGCCGGTGGAAATAATGCCTTTTATGAATTGGAACGCTTTATTCAGAAATAAAAATAGTGTTTTCGTATCGGTGTAACGCGATATTTCGCATTATTGGATTGCGATTATTGCGTATACGCATCAACATATAATATGCAAAGTTATCATATATTCGAAAATTAAAAAGTCATGGCATTACATTTCTGCTGCGACAAAAAAGAAACATGATGACTTCCTGAAATTTGCCTAAGAAAAAGATCAAAAAAGTTTTCTTAATATTAGATATATATCGTTAAACGACATTCTTCCTCACCCTCATATTAATTACTTCTAGTTTTTGTATTTAAGTATTTTTATCGAATTCGATCATTTCTATGTGTACAGAGTATTATCATATGTATACAGAGTATTCAAAAATTTTTTGACGACAAAGTTTTGTAAATATTTTTATCAAATCGTTAACAACGTATTAAAAAAAAAAAATAAACTCTGGAGTATTAGTTGTTGGAGTATTAGTTATATGTTATTATATATACCAAAAACAATAGAGGAGAAGGTGGTATTATGGCCAGTGTATATATTGTGGCCTCCCTTAATATCTCCGCTATTATATAGCGAATCCTAATGATTACTTATGAAATTATTTGTTCAGTAGTTCGCCTTTACTTCATGACGTTAATATAATCAGTTATACTCAATAGCCAGCACTTATTATAACGCACTCACCTCTGGGAAAAATCCAAAAAATCCATATCGATAAAATATTCGCCATAAATGATGTCAATATTGGTAAAAAGTATATGTTATCACATCACAATGGTGAAGTCGGTGATAAAATAATATAAAATTTATCACATTATAAATGTGTGTAACACGTCCGAATATTAAATAGGAAAAGACGACATATCCACACGACGTGCGAAAATGTAATGCGGGATATCTTGGTAATGCAAAGTCAGACTCTGTTTGTGATCGGAATATATGATTTATGTAGCCCCTCTGTGTCTGTTTGTAAGTTAAGATTGTTGTTTTATTCTTTGATATTCAACATCTCTGTAACTAAACGTTTATTGTAACAATGTTCTTCGTCCAAGATTTGAATATCGTTCCAATTGAAAACGTGTCCTATAGTTGCAATCTGTGTTCTGTAATCACAGACTTCGAACTGGTATTCCAACGTATATACGATTACGATATTCTGCAATCCTTGTTTTTAATCTTCTTCCCGTTTGCCCCACGTAGGAAGCATCACAGTCATTACAATTTATTTTATAAACTACGTTAGACTTCGACAGAGAATCTACTCGATCTTTCTGAACCTTTATATATTTCTTCAGTTTATTGGAGTTGAAATATGAAACTTTGATATCGTTCCTGTCAAATTGTTTAAATTTTTTGGTAAATACCGGAACGTAAGGTACTGTGAATCACGAAATGACAGTGGATGGTTTTTCGTTATTAATTGAAATATTAGTACCAGTTAGACTATTTTGCACGATGTCTTTAATTCTGTTGTTGATGCATTCAAAAATGAATTTAATAGGGTAGTCATTTTTAATTAAAGTGTCAATAATAAAAGTTATATTTTTTGAATGAAAATCAAAATCTGATAGCATTAACGTTCTGTCAACTAAGTTAAAAATTATGCCTTTCTTTGGAAAAATCGGATGGTTTTTGAGTAAAAATTTCAAAATCTGCCCGAAAAAGTGGGTTTCCGGTATCAATCAAGGATTAAAATATTATCTTTGACAATGATCGAAATATCCAGAAAATTCAGAGAATTATCGCTCACTTCCAAGGTGAATTGTAAACGCGGATGAAACGAATTAAAGTCATTGAAAAAAGAAGCTACCTCAAAAACGTACACTGACGCGCATAAATCATACAAGTATCGATAATAAAACAGACAATTATCTTTGAACAACATCAAAACCTTTTGGTGTTTTTACATTAATGTTTGAAATCTTTTTAGTATTTAATAAGATACACAATTACAATACTCTAGACTACTTTATTTTACTTCAATTTAATTATCCGTAGTGTATTTTTAAAAATATAATACATTACACTACACAGTTAAAATAACGGCAAATAATCAATGATTCTTAGTCATAAGATTAAAAGAATAAATTAACAAAATAAATTTTTGTTCGAATTACAATCTACGCTTGTGAACAAAAATTTATTGTTAATTTATTCTTTTAATCTTATGACTGCAAACTATTTTTATATTATTTATATTGTATATTGAAGATGGCCTGATATAGATGGCAGAAACATCTATAATTTGTTTCTGTGACGTAAGAATTTTAAATATATAACATTAGCAAAAAACACCTTGCGCGTGGTTGAATGCTCTTTATAATTTATGTTTGTAAGATCGAATAAAAATGGCTTTTTACTTTGCGCAATTTACGGGCACATTATTAGATTTCTTTAGTATATATTCTATTCTCCAAGAGAATTATCTACTCAAGTTAATTGATTCGTTAATTGATGTATCTACAAAGTTAAATTACAAACAAAAAAAAAGAACGA